TTTATCTTTAGATTTCCTATGTATATAAAGTTCGTAGTTTTATATTTTTCAAAAACCCAAGTAAACTATGATAAGCTTAAGCTTGGTCTGAAAGGACAATATATTCATGAATTTGAGCAGATTAAACTTTCTTTTGTGTAAATTAATTAGTTAAAAGTCTACAATTCGTTAGAAATTTTCATATTATGGATTTTAACAGGTCTGGTCTGTATGGATGAGAAGGAATCTCGGAGTGGAAGAGAGTCGCTAGAGATTGTGCTTTGTATGTCAAACATCTTGGACACCGGACTGGACTGGCATACATTGTCAGTTCTCATAGCTCTTTGATTGAGGTTGGAACAATCTGAAATAAAGTCATACATTACGTAAAGACAACTATATGTTCATAGTAATTAACGTTTTATCTTAGTCAATTAGTCTGACATGACTATACATGTACAGTAATCAACTACTCTAACCGAACTGAGTTTGTAACTACGAAAATAAGCTTGTTGATTATATGAACATGCTAGTCAAATAAATTATGTATAAAAAGTAATCAACTATGTATATGAATGTAGTAGTTAATTACACTATGATATAGTTCTTGTACATATATGTGACTGTAGATTAACTACTTTATGAGATAGCTCTTATACATGTGTGTGAATTTACTAACTAACTATTTTATGAGATAGTTATTGTACATGTAGTAGTTAATTACTTTGTGAGAGAGTTCTTATCCATGTGTACAAATATAGTAGTTAACTATTTTATAAGATAGTTATTGTACATGTGTGTGAATGTAGTAGTTAACTACTTTGTGAGATAATTATTGTATATGTGTGTGAATGTAGTAGTTAACTACTTTGTGAGATAGTTATTATACATGTGTTTTTTTGTAGTAGTTTACTATTTTGTGAGATAATTTGTTTATATATGTGTGAATGTAGCTAACTATTAGATTTAATAGTATTTTTACTAAATTATTAGTTAACTACTTTGTGAGATAATTCTTATATATGTGTATGAATGTAGCAGTCAACTATTTTGGTCTATTTTTAGCTTTTGAGGAGATAAAAGTGGAGATAATGAGATACATGATAAAAAAATAAGATGATATGATTTTTACTTTTTTTTTAAAGAAAAGGTTAAAAAGTAAAATGTGTCAGATGAAAGAGAAAAAAGAACGTAAAAAAGTTGGGATGTTTCTGAAAATTTAAAATTTGTCAGATAATGGAAAATTTTTGGCTGCTATTGTTTTACAAAGATGGTATAAGGTTAGTTAATTAAAGTGTGTTAAGTAATGAATAAAATATTAAATTTTATTCTTGCAATTTGCTCTCAGAAAACTGTTATTTCTTATAATTTTCCTTGTATAAAAGCATACAAAGAAAATCCTCTAGAATAAGGTGAAGCAGAATACTTCTTAATCTGAGATAACCAAATTACTTATTCTCTTAATCGACAACAACTGTTATAAAAAACGTTGTTATCTAATTTAGTTCTAATCTATTGTTTCTTTTACGTTGGATTCTTTTCCACTTTATTTTGTCAAAAAAAATGTCTTCTATTACAATGGTATTTTTAGTTTTGGTAATCTGAGATATCCAAATTACTCATTCTCTTAATCGACAACAACTGTTATAAAAAACGTTGTTATCTAATTTAGTTCTAATCTATTGTTTCTTTTACGTTGGATTCTTCTCCACTTTATTTTGTCAAAAAAAAATGTGTTCTATTACAATGGTACTTTTAGGTTTATTTTTTCTTCTGAAATTTCATTTTATATATCATTAAACTTGTTATAAACTTGATACGCTGGTTACAAACACAGTCAGCCCTACTGCTACAGAAGCACTATCAACAGGTAGCATAAGCACTATCACCCAATTAGATAAAAGCATAAAAATAAATAGAGGAAGAGAGAATAGATGGCTGAAAGCAAGTAGTAAAAAAAGGAGATGACGCGTTTTGTTGAGGGGATCCAACTTACATCAAAGGGGATCCAACTTACATCAAATAAATGATGCTTGACGTCGGCCGAGAACAATTGTAATGGAGCCCAGTGGCGGATCTAATTTTTTTTTATCAGGGTATTTTTAATAGAAGGCATTTTTTGGGATAAATTAGAATATATGACAAAAAATACTACTATTATCCCCTTAATACTTTAATTTTAGAAGTTGTCTCCTTAATACTTCTACTAATTATTTATCCTCTTCTACCCTTTAAATACAAATTACACAGAATAATAAAAGTCATTGGTATTTAATTTTAATCAGATTAAATTAAAAACCAAAAAAGTAAAAAAGAAAATTACATGTACCCAAAAAACTTTGTAGAATCCTTCTCTTACCATTGTTTAACTTTGACGAAGAAAAAAAAATATTGACGCCGATCACTTCTCTGCCTGTATAGTCTCCACCGGATCTTCACTCTGGTAATTAGAACGAAAAACAAAAGGAAGACGTAAAAATTGTGAAAAAAACGTGAAAATGATGTATGTTGAATGATGAGAAAAACGTGAAGATATGGAGAAGAAAAAAAATATTTCGCCAAAATTTAATTTCTAAAATAAAAAGTTTTAAAAAAAAATAATTTAGGAAACAAAATAATTGAAAAAGGAAAGAGATATATTCTATAGATTTTCTACACATCCTAGATTCTCGGAGATTTAGAAAACCGTTTTGTAGAATTAGTATTCTATAATTGTAGAACAAAGAGTTTACTGTAGAAATATAATTTTATTAAGTTGTAGAACAAAGAGTTAACTATAGAAATATAATTCTACTAAACTGTAGAAAAATGAACATGTTGTAGAGTACGGTTTCATAACTTTGTAGAACATAGAGAAAACTGTAGATAACGAATTCTATATATTTCGTAGAAAATTAATGAAATAGTAGATAACCTATTCTACAAATTTATAGATTTATAGGGTATGCTTTCTATTAATTTGTAGAACATTTGTTACAAATTATTTTAAAAATTTTGTTTGCAAAAAAGTAGTACAAAATATATTTGTCTTTCATTTTCTGAATTTTCTCAAAATTTTTAGATTCTAATTTTTTTAATTTTGCTAATTATAAGAAAATGATAAGTCCAAACGTAGTAAAGTTTGAAAAGTACTTAGGGAATAATACTACAGTTTTTTGTCCTATAAATATAATTGCCTTTTTTTTAATAATAGGGAGCACTTTTTCTATAAAATTTTTAAAATAACATATTAAATCAATTTTATTTAAGATTTATTCAATAAAAAACAAAAAGAGTAGGGGGCATGTGACCCCAGATAACAACACCTACGTCTGCCCCTAATGGAGCCTTGCATTATATTCTTCCAAATTGAATAGATAAAGGCTTGATATGCAAGCTTCAGAAGGAGAGTACTATTGGTATCCCTAATTGATAGGGTCTTTAAACCATCTTTAAAAAGAGTAGGAGAAAGATGTAAGATGTAGTCAATGAGTAAGCTAAGGGTCAGACTACATGGAGGCTACTACCTATCTAGAATGCAAGAAACCTATTAGTTTAAATATGATGGTGACTGAGAGGTTGGTTTGGTCTAATCCTAACAATTTAAATACAAAGCAAAATGAAACAAGACAAGAAAATGAGCAAATAACTAGCAAAGATATAACTATATGAGATGGAATATGGGTTTTGGGCTAAGATTAATGACTTTGGGTGACTAATAGTTGGTTAATGGTGCTAACAAAGCTCAAACAAGCTTAATCCAAAATCCTAGGTTCACTAAAGTGGACTAATCTACCCTCATAAACAAATCTCTTCACTAATCACTTACCTAATTAATTCCTCAACAATAGTTTATTGCCTTGTGAACTAAGGAACAAGATCCTATCAAGCATACAAGTCACCTTAAGCATCAACTCTATTGGATTAAGAATGAAATGCATGGTTAAAGAGGATCGAGCTTGGAAAATTCCATCAAAACACATTTTGTGCATTAAATGTTCACAAAGCTAGACTTAGAAGAGCTACTTCTAACCCTAGTATTAAAACTCAATAACCATTTGGATATGTAAATTAATGTACTTCACCATTAGTCTAACTCTTACTCACTCTAATCTACCTAGCCCAAAGGCCTATAATGATACTAGTCACATATACATAAGCGAAACAAAGTAAATGCCTTAAGAAGCGACATAAGGAAAAGAAGATTAAGAAAGTTGATATTAAACAAAAGAAAGTTTAGTAGATCATGAATGTGGTTCAAGATCTAACAAAAGCTAAGGTTTTAGAGCATAGAGAGCTAGGAGGCTTAGAATAGGGATTTTTTTGTCAAGTTAATTAATCAGTATTCACAAAGTTAACAAGGAAAAAGAATTGCAAAAGCCTTTTGGTTTAGTAGTTAACCAAATGGTTCATTAATACACCAAGAGGTCTGTAGTTCAATTTACAGAAGATATGCAATTTTTGCAGATTAATGGAGTCAAACTCATTAATTTTTTTTTAGCAATGTGCAAGTGGAGCCGTTTATCATGGAGTAGTTTTTTATAAAATAATCCTTATAATAGTTTTCATAATTTATTTCAATGTTAATAAAATATATAAAACAGCAATTAAATGGGTCAAAGACAATTCTAACATTCATATAATTGCATACGCGTTAACAAGACCACACTAGACCAAGTTGTTATCACAAAGAAACCAAACTGAAGGTTAACAAGAAAAAAGAATTAAATGGGTCAAAAGACACTTGTAACTTTCACATAATTATATGCCCGTTAACAAGAACACACCTGGCCTCGGCACTAGTCATTTATTTCAACTTAATGTAAGAAAAGTTTGATACCATAAAACCTAAACGTGAGTTACATTTTGAAACACAATTTAATATTGGTCCGCAACACCTGGATTTATTAAATAAAGTCTTGTTCTCTAATCCTATAAATTCTAAGTTTCTTCCGATCTCCAAAATCATCCAAGCATCTAAAAGAGTAAACAAAACAAACAAAAAAAGAAAAGGAAAAGGGGTAAAACGATTAATAAGAAACATGGGAAGCAAAACTTTTGTCACAATGATCTTAGTTGTATCCCTTTGTGCTGCCATTTTCGTTACTCAAGGAATAGCTCAAGTGCAACCGTCACCATTGAGTCCTGGATTTTTCCCACCCGGTTTGCCTATTGATTTGGTAAAATGTTGGTCGTCTCTTTTTAATGTCGAAGGATGTGTGCTGGAAATCTTCAAATCAATTTTTTCTGGCAAGTTTGAAAATGTTGAAGCGGCATGTTGCAAAGCGTTTTCAACTTTAGATGCAAACTGTTGGCCTCAAATGTTTCCACTGAACCCATTCTTCCCACCTCTCCTCAAGGACAACTGTGCTCGCATCATTCCCAGCTCACCTGCACACAAGTGAAAGTCTACACTGTTGGAAAAGTCATTCATCATCTTCCAAGGATAATATATTTTTGCTTCATAGAGAGCTTATAATAGTCAAAAGATTTCAACATTTATTTAAATTTTCTCTTTATTTAATACTTTGGTTATATCAAATATGCTATGTTTTGGTATATTCCACTTGATATTATTACTGGTATTGCATATGTTTTGTAAGGCAACAAAGAAAATCAAAGAAAACTGGTGATATTTCTGTTATGTTTTCTGGACTTCCAACTCAAAACCAAATGATAATGACTGGATTGGCCCAAATCCCTTTATATTTTTCATGTGGGATCCTAATAGATATGTTGATACCGGATTTTACTAATCTTGTAGATAGTCAAAATCAGTTTGGGTTTAAGAGACTTTTATTAATTTTATTGTTGTGCTTTGTGAAAACTACCTACATACCCTAAATTAGGTATCAAACCATTTGTAATTTATATTACAGAGAGAATTAGGTCATCAAAAGATGAGCCAATGAATAAGAAGAAGATATGTTCTAGGTTTGTGAGTCTAATGTCGATACAACCAAAAGAAGATAAGGCTGGTCAACTCGTCATTATCTGGTCAAAACTAATTCATATTGGGCTTTAGCCCACTAATGTTTACAAAAGGAGAAGAATCACGGATGGGCCAGGTTTTGAGGTTCATGATTATACCAAGAGGTATATATACGAGCAAGGTTTTATTCTACGAAGCCAAGGAAGAGAATAAAACCTAACGTGAGCGAGAGAAGAGAAACTTCAGAGATACGGTCAAGAGTCTTGAAGCCATCGTCTTCTTCTTTCAGCTTGTGATTTCGTCTTCGGTGTGTTCGTCGTCACGTTCACGTGTTGAAACTAAGGTTGATTGGTTTCGGGTCTTCTTTTCTTCTTTGTGGTACCTGAACAAATAAGAGAAAGACAAACGTGAAGTTAGATACATGAGATAAGGAAAGATCATTGTAAACACTTAAACTTGTTCTAGTGGATTGTTGAGAGTACCGTCTCTCCCCCGTACCGAAAGGGAACTGGGTTACCAAATTTTCTTGTGTCTTGCTTGAATCAACAAACAAACTAAACTGGGTTACCAAATTTTCTTGTGTCTTGCTTGAATCAACAAACAAACTAAACTGGATTACCAAATTTTCTTGTGTCTTGCTTGAATCAACAAACAAACTAAGTATCAAGGTCAATTGATCTAAGTAGTTCAGGTTAAAGAGCTAAGACTAGAGGTTGAAATTAATATTAAAACCTCACAAGGTTTTCTGTAGAGTTTTGGATGCTCCTTTAAATGAATGAGATGCTCTCTATTTATAGATGTTAAAGTGAGTCGATTTTCTTTTTCTTTGTTGACTTGATATTGACAATTTTCTTATTTTCTAGAGTTGATAAGAACACTTTTTTTTTCGGGGATTTTCCTTAGGTGATTAAGTCAGCCTAATGGGCTTGAGACTGGTAATAGGCTGATCTTAATGTGGGTTGGGTTAAATTGGGTCTGCGAAACATACACGCAACAATAAGCCTTCCCCCCATACACGCAACAATAAGTCAATAATAAGTCGTTTTAGATGGGGAATTCATGCATATGAGATGTGCTGTGCATATTATCAATTTGATTGAAAAGGACGGTTTGCATGATTTAGGTGATAATGTGGCAGCAATTAGGAATACCGTGCAGTATGTTTGATTTCCAACTTTGAGATTAAACTCGTTTGAACTTGAGATTGTGTCAGGAAAGATCACGAGGGGAAGCTTGCCTTTGGATGTCAAGATAAGGCGGAATTCAACATATCTTAGGCTACTACACGCTATTAAGTTTAGAGTTGATTTTGATAAAATGGAACTTGAAGATGAGTTGTACAATGACTACTTTTTGGAATTAGAGAATGCAACAAAGAGGGTTGGACTGCTTATATCAACAGATTGGAATGCAGTGGAGAGGTTAGTAAGGTTTCTAATTGTTTTCTACAACTCTACTTTTATTGTGTCAGGATCTACAACTATTTGCTCATATAAGTGCTATGGTGAGATAGTGACTATACAGAGAAATTTGATGCAAAATAACCTATGGTTTGGACTTAGATATGAAGGCTAAGGCTCAGGAGATGCTTGCCAAATTTGACAAGTACTGGGATGGAATGAAAAACATCAATAAGATGGTTATTGTAGCTAGTATCTTAGATCCGACCAAGAAAATGCAATTTGCTAAGATTTGTTTTGAAAGAATTTATGGAGCATACAATGCAGAATCAAAGGAGTTGTATCAATCAGTCTGTGAGCAATGAGTATGAAAGGATGGACTGTGTGTATGAGGAGATGGTTGACGATATAGGAGTTGAAGATGCAATATATGAGTTGGATATAAATCTAAAGGAAAAGAATGAAAAGAAAAAAACAATGCCTGGATCTGAGTATGATGTTTTGTCTTATTGGAAAGTCAACAGTGATAAGTTCCCTATCTTTTCTGAAATAGCTAGAGATGTGCTTCTAATGCAAGTATTTTCTGTTGTTTCAGAAAGTGCTTTTAGTACTAGTAGCCGAATCATAGATCCATATAGGTGTTGTTTAACTCATTATATGAACAAGGCCTTGATGTTCTGTGAGCAATGGATGAAGGCTGAGATTAAGTTAAGTGAGAGAACATTTGTTACAAATGCACAAATGCTTACTGAGATTGAACAACCTGACAAGCTTGAAAAAGGTATGTGTTCTATTCACGGTTTCTGTTTTGTATTAACATTCTCTCATAACTTGTATAAAGTTGTAACATTTTCTGTTCTTAACTTTTTTCAGATTTTACAGAGTCCAATACTTGACTCAACTTGAATTAGAAGACCCAGCAACAAGGTCTCTTGATCTTAAAGACTCGGATTGTGAGGTAAAATTTCTAGCTTAATGTTTCAATTCTTAATGGTGGTAATCTTTTTAATTTTCTTCTGCGGACTGCTGTTATCCATTTCATTTTCTTATGTTAGAACAGAGACTGAAGTTGTTGATGTGGTGCAGGCCTAGGGTTGCGTTTTTACAAGCTCATTGGTCCTCAAAAAGTTTTAAATTTATAAAACCCTAGTGTCTGCAAGTGCACAGATATACGTTATAAGACTTAGGGTGTCGATCCACATGGAGGATGTCTAATCTGCAAGAAACAACAAACTTGGAAGTAAGCAAAGTCATAAACTCATGGGATGTGGGATTTTTGGTTAAGAAACCTAAACTAAACCTAATCTAATATTCCCAAGAAATAAAATGCAATGCATATGAATTGTATAAAGAATATCTCAAGGATGTCGACTCAAACTATAGACTCTAAACTCATAGGTGGCGATTTAGACTTTTCCGGTTTACTCTATTCGATGTCAAAGCATTTCCAATTAGCCTCCGGGCGATTTATCTTCATCTGTTTCTGGGATCTGCATGGAACTAGAATAGACATGTGTATGATTAACTAACTCTCACCATCTTAATCAACTAATCACTCAGATCTGAAAATTAACTTTCGCTCTCATGCCAGAAATAAGATCATGCATTAAATATTGAATTTGTCTGCTCACATCTTCTCTACAGGTTGCTCTCGACTCCTATAGCGACTATGTTCATCTGAAGCTAGGTATGGATGATCTGATACAGCACTCTCGTGGCTCTGAATCGATCCTAGGCTCAGAGAATAGGTCATGAATCTACTTTCACGCAATATGAAAAACTTAGAAGAGATGAGATCCATAATATGGTTTAGAAACTTAGAAATCCTAATCGACATGTATGCCTATCGAAAACTCTACAAACAACTTGACTCTCTGGGACAGATCTACATGATGCAAGAAATGATAAAAGACATGAAAGAATGCAAAAGATGAAATAGAAAAGTTAATTAGATAGAAAAGAGAAAGAACAATGGATCAGGGGAAGAATCCCCATCTCCATCGCCTTACCATAGAAAAAAAAATTTTGGTGGCTCAAAATCTCATTACAGGAGCACACACTCGTTTAGGGCTGCTAAGAAATGTATTTATAGGTCCTAAGATCTTCCATATCCCATTTACGGCTTCTCTGAAGAGAAATGGTGAAGTGGGCTTTGATGTTGGGCCTTGTGGCTTGTCATAGATCCACCGGGGGTTAAAGTCTTTCGGGGCAGGTAAAATACTACTTTGCCGCGGGTGAGAGTCTTTCGGGACTGGTGAATTTGGTCAACTTGTTCTCCATGTATCTTTTGATTGCACCGTTGGATCTTCATGATGTAAAGTGCTATGGAAAGCTGGTTGTCTCCTCTTGATTGTTGAAAATTTGAGCTGGATCAGACGGTGAGAAAGTCTTTATTTGAAGCTGAACTTCTGACGTTCTGACTCTGAGCTGAAAATGTGGATTTCTTCAATTTTGCCATCATTTTCCCTAAGTTTCCTGAAAAGAGCCTTGAAACTACAAATACATAGAAATCATAATAAAAGTTCCTAAAACTGATTAATACCTCATTTGAAATCAATGATACAAATGGATACAAATACGGTGTTATCAGTTGTGTACTTAGATCGATTCCATTTCATGCTGAGTTATGTCAATTGGTACTGCAAAACTTAGCTTTCTTTCTAACGAAGATGTTTTCTGAGATGTCGTCAAAGCTCCATGTTAGTGATTAGAAATCATGATTGGTAAAGGCAAGGAGAGATATAGAAGGTCAGATATTGTCGATTTGTTGGCATTTCTTAGGTTTTGAAAAATTTTCATTCCCACCGACAACGCCTATTGTTGATATCGGATTTCACCAATCTTGTAGATAGTCAAAATCCGTTTGGGTTTAGGACATATTTATTAATTCTATAGTTGTGTCTTGTGAAGATTGCCTATATACCTTAAATTAGGGATCAAACCATTCATACTTCATATTATAGAGAGAATTAGGTCATCAGACGATGAGCCAATAAATAAAAAGTATATATGTTTTGGATTTTATGTAGAGTTGTGGATGATCCTTTGAATGAGATGTTTTATATTTATAGATGTTGAAGGTAGTCAATTTTTATTTTTCTTGTTAACTTGATATTGACAATTTCCTTATTTTCCGTAGCTGATAAGAACAACTTCATTTATTATCAGGAATTTGCTTTAGGTGATTAGGTCGGACCTAATGAGCTTCAGACTGGTAAATGGGCTGATATTAATTCAGGCCGGATTAAACCGAGTATGCAGAGCATACCAATAATAACTTTTCCTCGAGATCATGGCACTTATCGGCTCATCTCGAATCGAATCTCACTTTAAGACTAGTAATAAACCTTTTTTGGGTCACCGTTCTTGTGTCAACAAGCGAGATTCTGATACCATGTTAAGTTTTTTTAACTTCCAACTCAAAATGAATTGGCAATGAGTAGATTAACCAAAATCTCTTATATATTAGTGTTGGTCCCTTCATACTTTTAAATGCTGAATATAGATAACCTCCACGTAAATGGTCAATCCAACATCTATTGTTTCGTGTGTTGTTCAAAGGGACTCAAAATCATGGTGAATTTTGAAAAACTTCTATTAGAGTGAGCATATAAATGAGGCCGAAGACTTATCCTAAGTTTAGTGGAGTTTTTCAGACGTTTTTGACAGTTGATGAGGATAATGACTTTTTCGTGAGATTCAAGATGTATTGGTTACTTTTGATTTGAGTATTGATAATGTTAGAGGACAAGGATATGATAACGGATCAAACATGAAAGGAAAACATAAAGGAGTACAAAGAAGATTCATTGATGTCAATCCACGTGCATTTTTATACTCTGTGTGGATGCCATAGCCTCAATCTTGCATTATGTGACATGGCAACCAATTCTACAAAAGCTATATCATTTTTCGGGATCATACAACGTATACATCGCTTGTTTTTATCTTCAACTAAGTAATGGAAAGTACTTGAGGATGTGGTAGGAGGACTAACAGTTAAATCTTTATCCCAAACTCGTTGGGAGAGTCACGTTGCATGCGTTAAGGCAATAAGATTTCAAGCTCTAAAAATAAGAGATGCCTTTATATAGCAGAAACTAGTGATCATCCAGAAGCACAAAGGGATTCTGAATATCTTGCCACAAGTGAAACACATGGTACTGGAAGTTATGAATTCTAGCTGTCCATGGTTATTTGGTATGATCTCGTATTTGCTGTTAGCTCCGTAAGCAAGAATTAACAGGCCAAAGACATGAATATTGATTCTGCTATTTCTCAGTTAAATGGACTTGTTTCTTATTTCCAAAAGTTCAGAGATACAGGTTTTGAGAGAGCAAAATCTGAAGCTATACTATTAGCTGAGTCTATGGACATTGAAGCTGTATTCCGTACAAAAGCAAAGCGTGTTATAAGAAGAAAAAAACATTTTGATGAAGATTCAGAGAGAGAGTTGATGAAACAGTGAATTTATCACCAGAAGAAAACTTTAGAATTTCTTACTTCATTCAACTCATGGACCAAGCTTTATATTCTCTTCGTCAAGCAAGGTTTGAACAATTTCAGAAGTATGAACAAATATTTGGTTTTTTGTTTGATCTGAAAAACCTTCAGGAGGCAAGTGAAGATAGCTTGATGATTTCTTGTACTAATCTTGAAACCTATCTGAAGCATGAAAATCATTCAGATGTTGATGGGAATGGTTTATTTTTTGAACTAATAGTTGTAAGACAGACTTTGCCAAGAGACTGCAAGAGACCTATAGAAGTGTTAAACTTTTTGAAAGCGACAGAAGTATGCTACCCAAACTTTTGGATTGCTTATCGGATTTTGTTAACAATGCCATTTGAAGTTGCCTCTACAGAAAGGAGCTTTTCAAAGTTGAAATTGATAAAGTCGTTCCTCCGATCAACTATGTCACAAGATATGTTGAATGAATTGGTTATTATATCTATAGAAAGAGAATTTGTGAAATAGCTCGATTATGTGGATTTTGGTGAAGGATTTTCTAGGAAAGAAAAGAAGAAAAATTATGCTTTAGAATTTCTATAGTTTCGGTTATTATTATTATTTTTGTTTAGACGATATTTTTATACTATTTTTTATAAAGGCTACATTGTTTTAGTTCGTCTAAAGCCACCGTAGATCTAAGCGCGGCACTGTTCTAGCATTATATTTAAGAAAACTAAAAATTTCCAGCTGACCGTATCTTAGTGTATTGGATTCTCCTTTTTCTCTTCTCTTCCAAAAGACTTGGAGATTTAGGAGATAGAACATCTTTTTCAATTCTTAAGCGTTTTAAGAAATTCTTTGCCCAAACCTCACTCTTTTTCAAAGCTGATTTCGAATCTATCATCAAATCTCTTTCCAGCAAGGTATGAAGCTCAAACTCGCCATTTTTAATTGATTTTTGAATTTAGGGTTTTCTGAAAAAGCCCAAATCTTGGTTTAGTAGTGGTGGAAATAGCTTAAGAACAATAGATTAACCTTCTAGGTTATCTGAAAATCGATTTTAACACTTAGCCTAAGAGGAATTGAGAATTTTGAAATTTGAATTCTACATGCTTTGCAAAAATCGAATTTGGAACAGCAAAATTGATGAATTTGATCAAGTCTTGTGTGATTAGTGATTAGTATTAGGTAACCTATAGATTTGACATGGAGATTTCTTAATTAAACCAATTCTTAGAAGATTTCTATGTTGAGAACATCAAAAATCCAAATCTAGTCATGAACTACTCGATTTCTTCGATTTAATATCAGTTATGCTTGTTTGTGGTTTTAACTAATCTCTTGATATTATGATTAGTATCACAGATCGTTAATGTGTTAAAATCAGCATCCATATTCACTTTTTTTTCCAAGAATCATCTTGTCTTGTAGGAAAAATGGAACAAACCAAGTCCGAAGAAGCCGTCGCACTGGTGACAGCTCTGAGGAAACTCCCGATGATAGTACTCTTGGAGAGTACATGCTGAACCAAGCCAGACCGAGAAGAAGAAACTATGTGATGAGGCTGATTCAACACTCAAGAAAAACACGAGCAATTCCCGAGCCACCACAGATTCGATATATTGGGAAAGAGATTAACCCGAGGGTGGACTATGCAAGGCGTTTCAAGAAGCTGAACATCAAACCAACGCCCTGCATTGATTATCATACACTCAAGATGCTTGGGATTAGAGAAGATGTAATCTGGTACATCGATGCACTTAGACTGAGACCCTACATGAAGCTGAACCTTCCAACTTATCCCGAGCTAGTCCGCGAGTTCTTAGCAACTGTCCCCCTCCACCACACGAAGAGGAGGAACCCCAGAGCATCTGATGGCATTTTGTTGTTCTCTATCCGCGGACAGACTACTCACTCACCATTTCTACACTTTGTGAAGCTCTTAAGCTTCCATACACTGATGGCATTTACCTCGAAGAAGAACCTGATTTTGATTTATGGAGAGAGATGGGCCATGGCGTCTATGATAGCGGAAGATCCAAGTCAGCCCTTCTTACTCATCCTGCAGTGAGAGTTGTGCACAAACACTTAGCACACACGATTTTCTCTAGAGCCAACATGGGATGTGTTTTGAAGACCGAGCTCATTACACTTCAGATGCCATTTATGGACGACCCATGACTTGCCTGCTTTGCCTGGATCATAGCACAGAACATGGTGAAGGTGAAGCATGATTTACATGGTTGCGAGGACGCTACTCCAGCTTATGGGAGCGCTATTACAGCGATACTACAGGCTGTAGGATTCGACTTCTCATCTGATGATCCACATCCCGACGTCTGGTATGACCTACTCTATCTCTCTCGCAATCACACTATCTCTCATGCCACTTTCGATCCAGACAGGTTCGGTTACAAGTATTGCACTGGCACCGAAGAGCACCGAGTCTGTTTACCTTCAGCATTAGTCCCTAGATTGTGTAACGGAGGACGTCCGCGATGGACTCCGGAACCTGATGAGTTTTTACCCTCTGTGCCTCATCTACCCTTCACCATCGGGCATTACATAGTGGCCAAGGCAAAGCCCGATGCAGCTGCAGCACGTGCTCACTTTCAGCCATCTGTTTCGACTGGCCACACTTCATCATCAACATCGTCACACACAGATTCTGATCTGGATCGCAGAGTTGAGAGACAAGGACGACGCTTTAAGCGCGTTGTCACCTTCCTACATGAGCAGCACCATTTCGAAGCAGACACATCGGAGGATGAAGATTGATCAGCACTTCATTGTCATTTGACAATCATCACGGTTCTTTCATCATTTTCTTTTCTTTTATCTTATTTTATTTTCGCTTTTATTCACCATATTCTCACCAACTTTTTCACACTGGGGACAGTGTGATTTAAGTCTGGGGGAGGATGTCTATCCGTACTAATCATTTTCTTGTTTTGCTTTCAAAATTTCAAATACTTTTTAAATTTTAATATGTAACCTATTTGACCTTAAGTATTTTTCAGGAATGTTTGACACAAAACCGTGATGATTTAAACCTGCACGCTTTGACACTACGCATGATAGCTCATTTGTGGTTAGCACTAGACTAAGCGGTAGCTAGAGTACTTGCACTACGAAACTCCACCAGAGGACTTCTATTCATGGAGATTCTTTCCGACAGGATATACTAGCTCATTTTATTTGACCTTAATATTGATATCTAATTTTCTCATCATTGAATTTAGGCAGGCATCAAGATATACATCTAGGACGTCTTTTACCCTCATTTTTACCACTCTTTGTTGTCCTAGATGGCCAGTTCATCTTTATCTGGTACCATATCATAAACCCAAAAACCTTGTTTTCAATCCTCATGCATTCTCTCTTTAGTTTATATCAGCAGATATGTGCAAAAACGTCAGAGAGAAGAGGAGCGACGCAGTTTTCAGTCACTCACGAGGAAGACTGAATGGAATTGGGAAGGAAGAGTATCAGAAACCTTATTAAGCTTTAGAAGACTGATTTTTATTGGTAATTTCGTGCTCTCTATGACTCTATATCTAAAGTTGTTCCCTCTTTCAAAAAAAAAAATGTGAATGAAAGGGAGGGAAACAAAAAACCTAATGAGTCTAAGATTGTCAAAATTTTTGGAGCAAAAAGCAACTACTATTCGTTTAAGGAGCTATGATTTTGAAAGATTTACAAAAATATAAGTCTGGGAGAGTTAGGAGAGAACCTGAGGAAGAAGACCAGAAATCTATGGCAAGAAGAAAGTGACTGAAAACTGTGGATATCAACAACTTCACTCTCTCTTGCGATTTTGCATAATATCTTGCATCCTCCAGATCTTCAGGTAACCCATAAACACTTTAAGCCTTACTCCTAGAATAACTCTTTTGACACCTAGCCTAGATTGCCTTGCTTATACTTTCTTTGATGAGAACCACCGAAATTTTTAATGAATGCTAAGAGCTAGTTGACTCGAAGTTAGATCTCAGTGCAATAGATTTCCGCATGACGGATTAACAGACTAGTTATGCCCGTATTTCTAATGAGAATTTTCTAGGCTATTCCCGATTGATGCATAATGATTGATATTGGTATATAAGCTTTGGTCTCTGGGATTTTGTTTAGTTCCTGCCTTTTCAAACCTCTCACTGAGATTTGGCCTTTGTTTTGTTTGAGGACAAACAAAAGACTAAGTTTGGGGGAGTTGATAACACCGGATTTTGACCATTTTTATGGATCACTTTAATGTCTTTTACAGGTGCTTTTACTCCATTTTCAAAGGTTTTCAAAAGATATTTATGTTTTCGGATTTTAAAAGACTTTTCAGGTAATTTGTGATAAAAAGGCACACATTGGAACAAAATGACTCTTTTGGATAAATGCAGACCGTCAGAAATCTTAAGGAGAGACGAAGACCTTTTCACCGTCTGATCACCCTCACAATTTGACAACGTATAGAAGAATCAACCAGCTTTCAAATGCACTTGGTTTGGAGACATTCCAACGGTTGGATCTCAAGATATTCCATTTGCCCCGGAGACACTCGAAGACGGCCAGTAAGTCACACGACCGCGACCACCAGCCTATCCGCCGCGGTCACAAGCCTCATTACCGCGGCCAGACCTCTATTTCCCGCGGCCACGTTACTCACGACCACGGCCGGCCAACTCCGATTAAAAGCCCATATTTCTGAAGCCCAAAGTCATTTCTCTGCCTCAATTCTGGAACCCTAGAGACCATGGAGTATTGAAGACTATAAATACTTGTCATTTAGGTCGTTTTTAGGGAGAACCTTCATACTTTTACAAAAACCCTTCTTTTCAGCCG